AAAAAAAAAAAAAAAAAAAAAAAAGGCACAACTCCTTATGAGGAAAAATTGGAAAATGCAGACACATACAAAGGAGCTAATCACCTGCCTTGCTGCTGTTTCTGAAAGCTCATCGCTGTTGTTTGAGATTTTCATCCTGACTTGTCCCTTTCTTCAGATACGTAATCTTTTTCTCTAAAGACACTTGAATAGTTTTTTTTTAATTTTGAGGTTAGTATATGTATATATTTCTGTGTCCATGAACCATAGCTATGCCAACATGGCTGTGCAGTGTTTTGTTTTAATTTACTTACTTAGAGACAAGGTCTCCTTCTGTCACCCAGGCTGGAGTGCAGTGATGCAATTATATAGCTTACTACAACCTCAGCCTCCTAGGCTCAAGTGATCTTCCTGCCTCAGCCTCTTTTTTTTTTTTTTTTTTTATTTTTATTCTAGATTCAGGGGTACACGTGCAGGTTTGTTATATAGGTAAATTGAGTGTCATGGGGGTTTGGTGTACAGATTGTCACCCCAGATAATAAACATAGTACCTCATAGGTGAAGTTTTTGATTCTCTCTCTCTTCAAGTAGGCCGCGCTGTCTGTTGTTTTTCTGTTTATGTCCATGTGAGATCGTGCATTATTTGGTTTTCTCTTCTTGCGTTAGTTCACTTAGGAGTCCTAGCCTCCAGCTCCATTCATGTTGTTGCAAAAAACATGACCTTGTTCTTTTTTATGGCTGCCTAGTATTCCATGGTATATGTGTACCACATTTTCTTTATCCAGTCTACCACTGGTGGGCGTTTAGGTTGATTCCATGTCTCTGCTATTGTGAATAGTGCTGCAGTGAACATATGTGTATATGTTCGTTGTGTGTATCAATTGTCCACACACATATGTGTGTCTTTATGGCAGAACAATTTATATTTCTTTGGATATATACACAGTAATGGGATTGCTGGGTTGAATAATAACTGTTTTAAATTCATAGAGAAATTGCCATACTGCTTTCCACAATGGCTGAACTAATTTACACTCCCAAGAGCAGTGTATAAGCATTCCATTTTCTCTGTACCCTTGCTAGCATCTGTTATTTTTTGACTTTTAATTTTTTTTTCTTCAAATTTTACCCATCACATGAATGTATTGTTTGACTTAGTAATAGCCATTCTGACTGGTGGGGAGGTGGTGTCTCATTGTGGTTCTGATTTGCATTTCTCTAATGATAGTAATGTTGAACATTTTCTCTTAAGTTTATTGGCCATTTATATGTATTCTTTTGAATAAGCATCTGTTCCTGTTCCTTGCCCACTTTTTTTTTTTTGAGATGAAGTCTTGTTCTTTTGCCTAGGCTAGAGTGAAGTGGTGCAGTCTCGGATCACTGCAACCTCCGCCCTGGGTTCAAGCGATTCTCATGCCTCAGCCTCCTGAGTAGCTGGGATTACAAGTGATCACCACCATGCCTGGCTAATTTTTGTATTTTTAGTAGAGATGGGGTTTTGCCATGTTGGGTAGGCTGGTCTTGCATGCTTGACCTCAGGCAATCTGCCTGCCTCAGCCTCCCAAGGTGTTAGGATTACAGGTGTGAGCGAGCCACTGTGCCCGGCCTCTTTGCCCACTTTTTAATGGGGTTGTTTGTTGATTGTTAGTTTGCTTAAGTTCTTTACAGATGCTGGATATTCAACCTTTGTTGGATACATAATTTGCGAATATTTTCTCCCATTCTGTACGTTGTCTGTTTACTCTGTTGATAGTTTCTTTTGCTGTGCAAAAGGTCTTTAGTTGAATTTGGTCCCATTTGTCAATTTTTGTTTTGTTGCAGCTGCTTTTGCTGTCTTCATCACGAAGTCTTGGCCTGTACCTGTGGTCAGAATGGTATTTCCTTGGTTATCTTCCAGGGTTTTTATAGTTTTAGATTTTATATTTAATTCTTTAGTCCATCTCAAATTGATTTTTAGGTGTGGTTTAAGGAAGGGGCCCAGTGTCAGTATTCTGCAGATGGCTAGCCGGTTATCCCAGCACCATTTATTGAATGGGGTGTCCTTTCCTTGTTGCTTGTTTTTGTCAACTTTGTCAAAGATCAGATGGTTATAGGTGTGTAGCATTATTTCTGGGCTCTCTGTTCTGTTCCAGGGGTCTGTGTGTCTGCTTTTGTAGCAGTACCATGCTGTTTTGGTTACTGTAGCCTTCTACTATAGTTTAAAG